CAGTATCTGCTGACAAATCAGAGCATGCTGGTATTTCTTTAAATAAATGATTAAAAATGCCACAAAAATATAATAAGTGCTTTAAAATTCTTAAATTCATATAAGTGTAAATCTTAGTGTTTTTGAAAATGCTACTGTATTTTGTTATCTGAGCATTTTTGAATCGCTAGTGATTACAATAACAATTTATGAATAGTGAAAACTTAAATTATTCCAAGAGAATTGATTAATAAATTTCATACAGTAAATAAATCATTGGGCTGCAAAAGTATGCAGATATATGACAACCAATAACAGAAATAAAAATAAAATCTTTAAAAATTTTATAAAGTGGCGAAGCATGCAAGAGCTATTTATTTATCTTGTAAACAATACATTTTCAGTAGAATCAGTACTTTAAAAAAATTGATATACTTTGGAAACATGCTCTGCAATGTAGTTGTGATGAAACTGTTGATAGTGATGCTTTGATAATGCTATTGTTGATTTGCTCCACACAGTAAAACTGTAGAAGTTATGTATACATAGTTCTTGCTTTTATGTATGGATGCAAATTATACAGCTTTTAATTTTTCATGAAACTTGCATACATATTAAAGTCAAGCGACTTTTCAGAATATTACAACATTATAAATCTCACACACCTTGAGATTACTAAGGCTTATACACAGATTTCAAAGGAAAGAGTTTGTAAAGTTGTATAAGGGCCTTATTATTATTGATATAGACACAAGTATATAGTTTTCATTAATTAACACATTGTTATTGATGAAGATCTCTTTAATGATTCTTACATAAAGCTATTTGGATTTTTTTCCAGAGGAAAAAACAAAGTTTCATTTAAACCTGCGAGCACACGCACCGATCCGACGAACACTAGAACACGCGCCGGGTATGTCATACCCGAATAAACGTTTGTAATTAAAAATTTGCCGAATAAAATTAATCGATTTTTAAAAGAAATTAAAATGTAAAACCAAGTTAATACTTCATTTTAGACAAAATATGAAAGAATAAGGAGAGGTAAAATTATTTACTTACAATATTTTGAACATTGTTTACAAAATGAGGTCATATGTTCCATACATATACTCGTACTTTTGCTACAATTTTCACAATGTATCTAGTCTTTCTATCTTTTTTCTTGGGGCACTCTGTACACCTCTTGTAATTTTAGGTTTTTTTTGGGGGGTGGTTCATTGTTAAATGTTCATCGTGGTCATGTTCTAATGAACTGTAACTGTCTATTATTTTTTACCATCCTGATTATAAGTATGCCGTATGGTATTCCGTTGGTGTTCTTCTTGTAGTAGAATTAGGCGTTAGGGCACCATTGTAACACTGAAAAAAAATCCCATAGGCATCGACGTGCTACTCTTTTGGGGGGGGGGGTAGAAAAAAATACACTGCATCTCCCTCCACATCGACTGTCCTTTTTCACTTATATGCATGTACTGATTAGTTTTTAGATTTCCCCCTTTTCTCGGTGATCGCCCTACAAATTGTTAAAATCACACGCTTATTTTTTTCCCACATAAGTACAATTTATTTTGAAAACCGAAAATTCAGAAAACTTCTTTGGAAACTCGGGTGGGATTCCTCTTCATTTTTTACGCATTGTAACTGTACTATTTCTTCTTAGAATCTGAGATAATTCAAATCCCTAGAATATCAAGTTTAAATTCGGTCCAGTTGTATAAGGGGCCTTCTTAACTTTTGACAACTCTCGTCATTAATTTGGTTAAGGCACTGGGTTTACCAGAATAAATTTCCATACTCCTTATAAAATACCCTTGCGTCTAAAAGCAATTTTTTATGCATTTGCTGGCTTGTTGGATTTTTGTCTAAGGGAACGACCTCTGAATGATTCCCCAACTTCTCTCAATGATCCATACGCTCCTAAAATAGTTTTGTGGCATTTGTGGACACAATTTCCAAAGAATTTTGATCGAACTAAGTTATCACGTCTCTTCTACTGGGACGACTCTAATGTCAAACGAATGTAAAAAAAGAGAATCGGTTCATTGACATTTATTACGAATTGTAACCCGTTCTCCTTTTGCCCACAATCTCTTACGGTAATGGATGATTTATAAACTCCAATAAATACAGCATCCATTAAAGCAAATTTCCAAAAATTTTGTTGCTTTGCAGCCATTCATGAGTGAAAACAGGAATCAATATAAAATAGATGGACTACATGAAACAGATCTTATCGATAAGCGTGACCAGGATCTAAGGTGTTGAACGTCTTAGAATACTTTCGTATTTCAGGAGTTTTAATCTAATTTTTTGGGCTGAATTCTAATAGCCGGAATTTAATTTGTTCATTTACTCCTTTTTTAAACATAAAACTCATTGCTACATGCAAAATTCCTTTTCTTTTTCTTGTATATAACAACTACTCGCTATGGATTTAGAACTATTATTCTTGTCATCAACATCTGCATCGCTTCACTAAATGAATCCTCATCAGAAGAAACTGTTTTTAGAGAAATATTTCCTCCATCTTTTCTCTCTTCATCGTAGGCATTACGCGTCATTCTTCACACTCAGAAAAACCTATACTTGAAAAAAAAAGCTTGAACAACGAGAAGTGCGAAGTGACTCACTAAGAAACGCGAGCACACGCACGGGTATGACGTCCCCGAACAACGCTGTTGCTAAAAAACCATTGCACCTGTCACCTCAGGAATTTCCCCCATTTAAGTACGAGGGCCATCCAGGAAGTAGATTACGTTTCGTCCTTTTATGAAGAATAAGTGATAATATACAAAAAAAAATGCCCATGGGTATGACATACCATTGCGTGTGCTCGGGTTAGAAAATAAACCAAGAATATTCTTAATTTTATTATAAACTTCATTACATCACATGATCTGTAAACACTGAACTAATTTTTTCAATTTAAATCACAAATGTATTCTTCATATTGATTTATTGACAGTATGAATAATGACCAAAACTTTATATTATCTGTATATAATAAAATCATTGATACATAGGGTAAAAATAAGCTGAAGTTAGACTATATTAGCATGCTAATGGATCACTAATGTCAAAGACTTAAAAACTTTACCTAATCATTTGTACAAGATTATTTAATGACACAAATGTATAGGATTCTCCAACCCTTTTTTGACCAGACACATCTAACATATATTTTGAGATCTTGTACCCTTATGACTCACTTCAAATTCAGGCATGATAGACTTTTAAGTGCTTCTTTGTCATGAAATTATCTTATGATCATTCATTCAACTACTTACAAATCAGGAAAGAGAATTAATTACAGTGTTTTATACTTTTTAGCCACTTGATAACGTTCATAATTGGATTAACTCAAAGCAATTCTACTGATTATAATCAGATATTGCATATCTCTTCTGAGAATTTAGATTCTTCCGCATTTTTTTTGCAGATCTTGCTCTAAATGATTTCAAACATATTACCACTAATAATCGCAAATATATAAATAACAAATTAATTTTTATTCTAACATGATTTGGGGTAGTTGCATAGGCGTTTTCGTGTTTTTCCTCATTGTAATGTGTATATGAGCCAGTTTCCCTTAAAAGTTCTCCAGAAGCCATCCTTCCTTGTAGGCATTAGCTCTCGAGTGTTTTAAATCAAATAAAACCATTTTTAACTACAATTCAAATTTTGTATTTTTGTCCTTATTTCACAATAATTAAAGTCCTCTTTAGTACATACACATATCAGGGCGCTATTTATCTTCTTTACAAAATAAACATTGAAGCAGTTTTAGGACTTTTCTCTCATGGGGAAAAAATATCTGCATTTATCCTTTGCTTTATGAAACTGAGTTTTCATACCAAACGAACTTCTTACAATATAACCTTCCTTCGAACTCTCTTATTTACCATAAACCATTTCGGATCTTGCTTGGAAATGGTCTAAGGCCTTTTACCAGTATATGGCTGTCATATCCCTAAGGAGCTATTAGAAAAACAAAACGTCAGCTATACCAGGTTTAATTTCAAAATTAGAATTACCAGAGCCGTATAGAAGACCTTCAGAAGAGGAACAAGAAATAAGAAAAGATGACTAATAATCATTAACAATTAAAAATTAATATTCATTATTAAAAAAATTATGGTTAAAGTAATTAAATAATTAAAATTTAATAGTATGCAAATTGATAAATAGAATTAATAGCATTTTTAATATAATTTTATTATTAAAAATAAAGTTTCCAAGACCAGATTTCTACTGAAATTATTGTTCAGTTACATAAAGAAGTGCTAAAGCCTTCTTATTTAGGGCTCCGGCTAAAATTATGAATTTTTCCTAAAACTAAGAAGTATCGGAGCCAGCCTCCGTGGCTCCGACGCAATTTAACCCTGGCTATACGGATATCTTGGTAAAGCAAGAGAAGAACCCATATCTTTGGTCATGACCAACATGCGCATGATGTGTTTTGATTGTAAACCACATGAGGGGATTTAAATACTAAAATGACGTCACCAAAGCCACCATCAAATTTCCTGCAAGTTAATTTAGTCTCATCACCCAGATCGAGATACTAGGAAGCAAGAACGTTCCTTAGGCAACGACTTCATCCTATTTTTTTTTTATTAGTTCTATTATTTGTAACTTCTTGCCTAACCATTGGAAAGAAAAAAAAAAAAAAAAAAAAAAAAAAAAAGGTACTTATCATTATTTTCTGTAATTTTTGTTGCTTAACTTATAAAACACATTAATAATAATACAAATTTAAATGAAATCTAAATACCCATTTTTCGACTTTTGCATGAAAGGGTTGTATGGAGAAAAACAGGTTGAGAACTAAAGGAATTATCTTATGTTATCTTACATCCTATTTTGTTTCTTTCTATTTCTTATTAAAAATGTCTTATACCTCATGACATAATTTTGTATCAAAGTTTAGCATAATCATAACTTTCCTTTCCTTTGCTTACCGTTAATAAAGAAATTTTCTTTCGGTGATTGCTGTATTTTCTGATCTTGTAGAAGGAATGAATTGCGAAAATCTTTAAAATCATGGCGACTTTCATTCTGGAACAATTCTATGCCCAATATTAGATACAGTAATGTTCCCTTTATTCCAGAGGACACAGCCATATCAACTCTAAACGAACAATCCAATTTGATAGTTATCCTGTATTCGTGATAATACTGATGTTCAATTACAGAAATTAATAATAATTTATGATTGCTTTGTTAAAACACATTTTGTAGCTTTCGTCAAATCGTCAAAACGGACCAAAGCTGCCATTTTCATGAGAATGACAGTACATCTGAGAAGTGTTGAAAAAACAATCAGCCTAATTATGAATAATAATTTACGACTGCTTAGTAAGCAAGTATAGTATTAAATAAAAAGTTTTTATTAAAAATAAAGACACACTTGATATATTTATCTTCTTAAATGATTAATTGAATAATAGTATGTGCATCAGTCTTGTTTTGTATTAACCGTACGCGTGGAAATGGATTGTGTCGTCAGCTGTGTTTATGTTTTGATGTAAAATTTTCTCACGGTAATGGAAGTAATTTTTGATATGTTTATGCAGAAGGTAATTTGGCTAAAAATGTAACATCAATTTGTTATTGATATTTGTTTCATGCACACTTTGCATTTGAAATTTTAATAGCAATATTCAAAGTTTAAATTTGATAATTCTTACTGATTTTAGAATGAATAATATCCGGTTTATAGATTTGATTCCTTTTTCAAAATGTAGCATTGGACAAATGAGATTTTGAATTTTATTTGAAGGAATTTTAAATTTAAGTTATCGAGTTATGATATATGAATAATGAATAATTAAATGAATTTTCCTTTACTTGTTTGGTAAAACGTGTATAATTCATTAATAGTACTACAAAACACATATCTTTGAAATTAGAATCACTAATTAATTATGTACAGATATGGATTACAGCATGAGAAGTTTTTCAGATGGTCAGTTAAAAATTGCAAGTTCTTAAGTCATTGTATGGATTTAATTATTTTGAAGATATAATTTATTATAAAGCATTTGCACAAAGAGAAAAGACATTAAGGTTAGTAGGAATCTTAATTTAAAAAACAAAAAAAAGTCTTATGTACAGATATGGATTACGGTATGAGAAGTTTTTCAGATGGTCAGTTAAAAACTGCAAGTTCTTGAGTCAATGTATGTATTTAATTATTTTGAAGTTATAATTTATTATAAGGCATTGCACAGAGAGAAAAAAAATTAAGGTTAGTAGGAATCTTAATTAAAAAAACAAAAAGTCTTTTCAACAGTTTTGTATCAAGTGTCGTAGCAATTTTAATTTCGTGTCTAGATTAATGTATATGTAAGTGTACAGATTTCAGAATAACTTATGACTTGTTTGTAATAATATCACTTTTGATTTCATTTATTTGAGTATGGTGTATAGCTGTAATAATCTTGTATTCCATGTCTTTGACCGATCTGTTGACATACAGTTTACAGTTGTATAATCCTTTTGCTGTGATATAACTGATGCAAGATTTATTTTTCTGTCATTACATTCTTAATTAGTGGTACAATCTAGCTATCAAGAAATGAAGTTTATGCCTTTTATGAAACATATATATGATCTCTTCAGGATTGTTTAGTTATTTTGAAGTTTATGAATTCTTGAGTAATATAAATATATGATTAAAAGTTACATTTCTTGATTTTTAAGTATATTTCAACATTTTTTAAGATCAAAATAATTATCACAGTTTATGTATAATTGTTTTCATTCTGCTTTCTGAAATATATGCATGTATTCTACCAGTTATAGGTATTCATCTAGAATGACAGCTAAATGGATCGCAGTGCTGCTGTTATTAAGAACAGTAATTAAAAAAATTATTCTGCAAGACTGTGTGCTTAATTTTGGTCCTATAAGAAGAAATTTCATAGTTTTGTTTTAGTTTACATAGAAAGGGATTGCGTGTTTAAAAGTAAAAAAATAATTTCATTGTTTAATTTATTAGAAGGGGAGGAAGAATGTTTTTGATTTCATGGAAATAAGAGAATATATAGGTTTCTAATTGTGTATGCTGAAATGAAATACAATAAACAGAAGAATAAAATGCTGTCGACTTGCTCTGCAGTAAATATGTATTTAACTTGTTAAAAAAAAAAAAATTCTGTAAATTTCTTGAATATTTGATTATAATGCAGCATATGAATTAATTCTTAAGTATATCCATTAAACATGTTTTTGTTTACAACTTAGGTTTTCTAATCATAACATGCAGCTTTACTATCCATACCTTCTCATGGGTTGTGCTTGTGGAAAGGAAACCATTGAAGTTAATGGTAAAACATATGTAATTAAAGCAAGGATAGGAGAAGGGTAAGTTAAAGCTTGTTAGTATTTCTTGGACATTTGTGTTTCAAATGAAATTAGAACTTAGTTTCAGTCTGCCTTCTTTAATAACCATATGATAAATAATGTATAATAAAATGCTAATAATGTATATATAAACCAAATAAAGACATTTTTCCTCTAAATTCTTAATCATGTTTTTTCAAAAGTTTTTTATACATTAGTAAGATTTTAGATTATAACAATTTATTACATTTAATGTTGCTTTTAACTATTCAGCAGTTACAAGAATAAGCAATTCTTTCTTCCCAAATATACACAATATATGTTACTCATAAATTTGTAAAGTGAGCTATATTTGTTTGCGGCCAGCTTGTTGTGTAACTAAAATGCAAGCTGAGCTCATCTACTATGACTATCAAAAATTAAAATGCATAAAATGTTGTTGTTGTTATTACTAATCTCTATGTCTAGGGATATACTAGACGAAGTCCACGAGTCCATTCACCTTCAAAAAATTGAAAACAAGCTTAGGAAACTTGTAAAGGTCCTCAAGAGACAATTCCAGGCACTCAAGGATATGTGCCAGTGATGCCGGTGCATTTTGACATTCAGAACAAATTGGGTGCATCTTGAGACCTCTTTTAAAAGTAAGTCCTTTTAGGTGTCCACTGAAGAATCGGGAAAGTGTTGTCTGAACACATCTATCACAATCAATAGCAAGAGATCTTCCAAGACAATCAGCTTGATACTAGGGATGATTCGGGGGAACGAGCCAAATTTCCCTGTCAGCATGTCTTTTAATGGAATACAGTTCAAGATATGTCAATGAATTGGTAACTGGTAATGGTTCTTCGGAACTCTCCTTCGCCAGAATGTCTGCCATTTCATTCCCCCATATGTTAACATGGGAAGGAATCCACTAAAGGGGCACTTTGCAGAGTGACAAGACCTGCTGAAGCTTGCTAAGAATTGCAATTCCAGCCCTATCACCAACTTTTCGCCGGTTTGAAAGATATTTGATGGCCTACGACTGTTAGACAAAAACCATACTGCCTTAAGATCTGTAAAGGACGAAACAGTGTTTAGTCCCTCTTCAATGGTTATAAGCTTGCTCTTAAAAACCAAACTGAAGTCAGAATTTTCTTTATTTTAACAATATTTCCATTTGTGCATTTAATGACAACTTCTCTACCAGAACGAGAGTCCTTGCTTTTACTCCCATCGGTATAAATCAGAGTAGCTTCAGCGGGAATTTTGTGTATAGTTTCTAAGGCAGATTGACGTAACAGAGTCGGAATATAATTTTTTCTTCGAAACTCGAGACAGAAGTTCCATATGAAACTTCACTCTAGGGAGTCCCTCAGACAGATCTAAACATTCTTTCAAGGAATGCAGCTCAACATTATGGTCAATTATACCAGCATACTCAATTTGACTAAAATGGGCTAATTTTTTTAAGTCTTTGGTTATTACTCCAATGCTGCATGCTGCAATAATTCTGAAGTTCTATTTTGGGAGCCATAACTGAAAAGTTTATTATAATATTTTGCAAGGCCAGCATTTCTTCTTAGGCTAAGGGGTTGAAGGTCTGTTTCATACAATGCAATTTTATTCGGGCAAGTGTTGCGTAAGCCAGTTATAATAGGAGAAGCACTAAGTTGGACTCTTTCCAATTTCTGGAGGTTGGTAGAAGAGGCACAACAGTAAACGGGGAGACCATATTCCAAAATAGGTCGTATGTTATTGCAGCTACTGAATACACAGACAGTGGCCAGGACTAGTGGATATTGGAAATTTAATCCAAGTTTATATCCCAATAAGAGGGTAATCTCTGAATTTTTATGATTTTGCCCATGTGTAATATAAATATGAACTGATTTTCCTTGAAAAATCCTTCGTGAAGACATATTTTCTTCTTAGACAAATACCTTTATGTTCTTTGCCATAATAGTTTAAATCAAATGAGTTGGAAAAAAATTATGTATTAATATTTAAACTAAAAATATCAATACTGATACTCTAATATCATTTATTTCTGAATTATATAAATAAAGTTAATTTTCCCATGTACCATAACCTGTTAATAGGAACAGAAAAATGCTTAAGTATCCCTTGAGGTAGTAAGTGTTTAATAAATTTTTTTATGTTACATTCTAAATCTAACTCGGATTGCTTGCTGTCCGAATGCACGATCTGAAAGCAGCTGGGCCAAAATATTTTTTTACCAAAATATAAAGTTTATTTTTAACAAAACTAAACTTAGAATTTTATTTACTAAATATTTATTAAATCATAAACAGTAATAATAAGGGGGAAAATGTAGTTTATATTTATTTTCTGTCTGAAATATAAAAGTTGGTATTATAATTAGCAGCTTTTTGAAATGGGGTGTGGATAATCAGAAAATATCAAATTAGCTATGAAAAATCCATTTTTGTTTTTACTCATTTACATGATGTTAGATGTATAACTTTTAATACAGTAGCAGATTCTCTTCAGCTACATGATAGAAGAAAATCAATATTTTTTAGCAAGTTTAGATTTTGAAGAAAAATTTTGTTTTTTGATACTTTCTAATTTTTTCTAATTTTCTTTTTCTTTAAGAAAGCATGAAATTTTTAGTTAAAGGAATTGTTTGTAAAAAAGCTTTTTTAGAAAAGTGCAATATTTAAAAGTTATTTCGCTACTAGTATTAGAAACAACTTTTTTAATGGCTACTCTAAATATTTTTAGTAAAACATTCTGTCGTCTTTTTTAGAACAATTTACAGTAATTTTCAGTTTAATAGCAATTTATTCTGGAAGGCATATATCTGTTTGTTATCTTTTATTTAATAACATGTTATGTTTTGTGAAATTTTTAGAATGATTGGAAAATCTGGTGGTTATAAAATGTATATATGTTGTATGATCTTAAATTCACTTAGTTCGAAAACAAGTTTTTTTAATACTTGTGCAATAGCTGTAAAGTAAGATAATAATAATTTATTTACTAAAGAAATATTGATTATATTATCTCAATACTTATCATTTAGCAAACCTTACAGAAACATCTATAATAAACAGAATTAATAATAACCTTTTCATAAAAAACTAAATATCTCTTTAAATCCAAGCTACAACAGATTTACTAACCTCTATGCACTTTCCAAATTCCATAAAACACCATTAAAATTCAGATTCATAGCAAATGGAACTAATAACTTTTTCAATTCAACTTAAAAAAATTGTAAATTTATTTTCAACGATTGTAACACTAATCATAACTATTGCTGGATCATCCATAATAACACTCCTGTCATTAATCCCATTCAAACAATTGACATACAAAACATTAACTACTATGACTTTGAAAACTTATATACCTCACTTCCTTTAGAAGAAATTTATACTAGTCTACTAGATCTGCCTAAACTCTTCCCTGCTATGCTCACAATTATGAATCTTAGTAAATGGAAAACCTACCTAAAATGCACACTTTTTTGTAACTACATTAAATTTCAAAATCAACTTTTTAAACAAGTTGGAGGACGTCCAATGGGCTCCCATTCCAGTACCTCGATCTGGAATCTCTTTTTATTTATCAAAGAATTTAACTTCAAAAAAAAATTTACAACATCAAGAATTAAATTACTACAAGCACACTTACAGATATATAGATGATCTTATTACATTTAATAATTTTAATGAGATTGAATACTCCGAGATTTATCCAAAATGCCTTACACTTAATAAAACTAATAATTTGCAAAATAACATTGACTAATTAAGACACAATAATAATAATCATTGAGTAGGACCCCATTCCGGATATGAATTCCTGGGGTATTTATAGGATTCCTTGCCAGTGTGGTCTAATTTACATTGGCCAAACTAAGAGAGCCTTAAAATTTTGTGTTACGGATCATGAGGCATATGTTAGGAAAAAAGGAAACGCAGAAGTTCTTCTGTTGCCCAACATTGTTGGTCCTGAAAAATGACACTATCCAATTTTTCTGCAGCCAAAATTATTCGAAAACACATCTTCCATTGGACATTGAGAACTAGATTTTCTAGAGGCATTTCACATTCAAAAAAAAAAAAAAATCTTTCTGTTCTAGTTAACGATTCTAATTCCAATCCATCTTTGCCTTTGGCCTTTAAAGATATTATGCTTTAGTTCTGGTTTCATCAAGAGATGGCACCACTAGCTCATTTTCTGTCCAGGCTTTCTTATCTTATCTGATCATTATATCCTATCTCCTTCATTTGCGTTTTTGCAGCTGATGATGGTGCTTCGGTAAAACCATCGGAACTAGTCCTGTGAAAATTTGAAAATTTAATGCTGATTTTGGTTGTTTGACTTTTGAATTAAAATTTTTTATCTCGATCTTCAAATAATTAACCACAAAAAAGTTTTACTGTTTGACAAAACAAGAAAATAATAAGAATATAAAGAAAGAAAAGCAATAAAAGAACAAGAAAATAAAGTAATACAGTTATTTAAGTGTAAAACAGCAGTGGCAATAAAAAATAGCTCAGCCTTTGTTGAAAATAATGTATAATTTTTTTTTTATAAAAATTAAATATCCATATAAAGTAATAGAAAAATAGTTAGTTATGTTTTTGTCAAGTGTCTAATAACTTTTAAGCATATATTAGTTAGTACCACCATTTAAAACATATACATATATAAAGAAATAGAAAAACAACATATACATATATAAAGCAAAACCTTTATAAATAGATAAAACAATTTACAAGCAAATTAATGGATCATAAATCTTAAAAAATTTTTTAAATTATTTCCAATAATAAATATTGTTTTTAAGATTCACAAGATTGGGGTAAAGGTAGTAAATGAACCTCTAATTTGGAAAGCCAGGTTGACCAGAATAGTCTCAAAGGAGAATTATTAGATTCAGATACAAATAATTGTTGATAATTAACAACTACATTCACAGGTAAAACTGAAGAAGCCATTGCTATCCAAATTTCGAGTAAAATTCAGAATAGAACAAACTGTAAATCCTTTGTATATGAATA